CAATATGTTTAAGCCGAATATCGGTTGTTATTGTTGCCGAATCGCAACAGCCAGACATGATGAAACCAAACGACAACGGCCACAACAAATAATGTGAATATATGATGAGTGTTGATGTCACCTTTCTCGTTTTTCTCACTTTCAGAAATTGAAAACCAACATACTGACATCAGACCCTTTTCACGACAAAGTAAATGTTAGATGATAAGATTTTTTCCGTTCCACTCATTTGTCTATTTGATTGTGCAATGATTCACCTCTTGGACTCTTTATTTGCTATTGTAAAGAAATGTACCGTAATTTTAATATAATTATTCCATAGATGTATTTGTAGAACATTTCTGAAAGTTCCTGTATATGACAACGCGTGCCACTTGACATTATTTATTAGAAAGTAAAGCAATTTTGTTCCGTACACACGAGTTAGAAGAAAAATTAAAGCATTACGTGTAGTATCCAGTTGATTCAAAGTTCCAACACCCAATCTGGACTCATTGTTTTAGCAATGGCAAACAAATTGCGAGAGCAAATTGCTGTTTGCACTTGCCTACAGTCTATGCCTCCTTTAAAGATGTACACCAGTAAACATCGGTGTAGTATGGTATAGGAAACAGACTTTTTCCGTTTATTTCTGGTGCGCTCTCGAGTAATTCGCGCACTTCATTTGCAACAAGTTTCTTTTCCTCGTCGGGTAAAGCTGCCATATAGCTAATCGATAGAATGCGATCTATTTGTGAGTCAATTGTGCCATATTGAACGTTGGAAAACTGCTGATGTTCTAACGAGGAAAAACCGTTTTCCGTTTCGAACGCTTTTTTCCATTCCTTAGGTTTATATCCTGGTGAGCCCGTTGATGGCAGTCGTTTCTCATACACAGCAGCCACTTTCTTTAACCACGGGCATTTATCGATCTGTCTTAAATTCCATACAAGGAATAATAGTCCTTTCGGTTTCAACACTCGTCGAATTTCTTTAAGGGCTCTAGATGCATCAAACCAGTGAAATGCCTGTGAGCAGGTGATGATATCGACAGTGTTATCGTCGAGAGGGATATTTTCAGCTGTGCCTTCCATCACTGTGACATTAGGGATTAAGAATAATTTATTTCTCATATTTTCAACTGGTTCAATGGCTATAATCTTTTCTGCGCCAATCGTTGATAATAATGTGGTAAACTTTCCCGTCCCTAAATAAAACTATCTTATATGCAATCTGAACAAGAAGAATTAATTGAATTCAATAATATACCTGCTGCTAGATCGGCGATAGTCTTGTCTGATACATCTTTTTGCATTGAATGTAGAAAATTGATCACATCAATAGGATAACTAGGACGACCCCGCTCATATACATCGGCAACTTTTTCATAGCCTTTTGCAGCAATTTCATGTATCTCCATTTTTTGAAGTATCTGAATGTCTTGCCCAGTACGCACCTTTTATTGAAGATAGAACTGCCGAACACAGAGAAACGTTACTTCTCTGACGAA